TTACTTGAATCAGAATTATAATACAGCCCTACCAAAATTAATGTTTGACCTGGATGTAATAAATACCTCAGCCTCTACAATACTGCTCTTTGTTTCTCCAACGAGACTGTTCCTTGAGCAGACTGCAGAGGTTACTTACCAGCTGCATCTATCTTGGCCAATTTGAAAACAAAAACACCCACGAAACAAACAAAAAAACCCCAAACATTTCATTGTCTACACAAACATGAGTAAGTAGACAGCAGCTAATGTGTGAAGCTTCACTTGGCCATGTTTTCTCTTGGCTTTAAATACTGTGACTGATGCAGCAAGTACATTCTGGACAGCTGCAGAAGTCCACAACAAATACATTTGGTCTGCTGAATTCTGCAGTGAAAGAAAGTTAGGTGAAGGACAGCTAGAGTGGTTTTGCTCCTTCTGAATGATCTCTAGTAGGATACCTACTGTTTCTGATAACATTTACGAGTCCCGGAAGCTTCCACACACACATGTGAGGGTTTCGGGGGGGTTGCTATGGATCTCCTTTGGGAAAAAAATGAGGAAATAGCCAAATGCTGAGGCTGTTCTCAGAAGCAATCCCTTCCACCGAATTCCTCTCTTCTCTCTCTCAATGGAGCACAAGTCTTGCATAAGGAAAGTCAAAGAATTAAACCATTTTGTGATGTAAATGTTTTTGCTCTAGACAATATCTGATTCCTGAAATTACTTATTTCACAATGCTCCCACCAGTAGGTAGGAGTAACACAGGGGAGGCCACACCTGTGATACCAGAGAGAAATACCCGTGTCTGCTGCTCCCCAGCAGCCTTCTTGTGTCTTCCAAGAATTGTCCGATTCTTTGCCAGTATTTTCCCTTGTCCAGGATAAAAAGCCCTGCTCTCTTCAATGAGGAACAGGATGTGAAACACCTCCAACAGTTTTTAAGCTGCATCCTTGAGGTCAGGCTATTTGAAAATTGTCACCGACTAGGTGAAGCCATTACGTGAACAATATGGAGTACTACAGGGTTCAGGGCGACAGCAGTATCAGATAATTATGTCATTAACTTCCCCAAGCAATCATTTTTCCTTGAAGTTAACCACAATCAGGATCCCAAAAATTTCCTGCAGAAGATGTATTGCTTCAGCAACTACATCTAGGAAGATAACATATTCACCCATACTTGGCAAAGACTACAATATAACCAAGATATACGAACTACTACTATTTTTTTTTTTCCTTCAGTTATCAGAAGGTGTTTTTTCTGTGTTTTCTCCTTCTCCCCCAAAGAACACCATTCCTCTTGGTTACGTTACTAAATAGGAGCATCTTACCAAAACATTCATTCACTCCACTGGCAATTGCAGTCTCTAAATATTTGTAAGGAGTTATAGCCATTTTAGACAAGTCAGGAAATGTCAAAAGAAAAAACAAATGACTAAAGAGCTAGAGGGATTGATTTACAATGATTACAATGGAAGAGTAGAAGAATAAATGACTTACAGTTTAGCTATTTCCTAACTAAAAACTGAAATGCAACAGAGGGTAAAAAAATACAGTAACACATAAATATTAAGTCATCAGAAAAACTTCTGGTGACAGATAAACACAAAACAAGGAAAACAAGTTGACAAATTCATATACAATAGGAATTCAACAAACAATCCCCCAAGGTCCCCCTAAGCTATCAATGTTTTAAATTAAAATTCTGTTGCAATTTATGCAGCCATTAGTGCCTTTGAAGCAGATACACATATACACGGAGGGGAACTTGGTATTAGGTATCACTCAGGTTAGAAGCTAGGTGAAATTTAAAAAAAAAAAAGTTATTGAATGTTTATAATAGATAATGAAAACAACCATACCTATCCTATTCACTAAACAAAATTCAACACGTTGCCAAACATAAAACTCTTCAGAAGCAACTTAGACTTCAAAAGAGCTTACATTGTTCAAATAACAACCTTACTTGGAATTTCTTATAATTCATTCTACAAACAGCTGTAGCACATTTTTTACATTGAACAAGGATATTAAACTTGATAGGATACCAGTCTGACTTCAGTTGGATTCCCTTTGTTCCAAGCATTTTGTTTTAATGAATCACTGACCACATTCAAAAAAGCAGCCACTGAACACAAGGTTCTAGACAGGCTTCCTATCCTGGATGCAGGGTATCAATGGGAGAGGATTATTACCATCACCCTCAGCTACAACAGCCTGAAGAGCAAGTCCTGATTTATTTTTACCAAAATAAGTGGACACACACCCTTGAAGAACATGCAAGAGTTTAAACACACGCTGAACCTAAGTGAGCGTAAAACCAGTATTTTTGAGGGGATGTTTCTGTAAGCCTCCAAACACTGTAGTTAAAGTGATCCCCAGAGCTTTCTTAGAACCTTCAGAAGTGCGGTTATTTGTCAGCGGCAATCCTGTGAAATCCCTCACAGAGACACAAGTGTGCTTACACAAGATACCCGTGAATGCATATACCTACACCAAGAACTGCAAAGTGCCACGAGCTCTTAGAGCTTAGTATTGTAGAATCATAGAATCATTAAGGTTGGAAAAGACCTCTAAGATCATCAAGCCCAACCGTCAACCCAACACCACCATGCCCACTAAACCATGTCCCTAAGCGCCTCATCTACATGTCTTTTAAATACTTCCAGGGATGGTGACTCCACCACTTCCCTGGGCAGCCTGTTCCAAGGCCTGACCACTCTTTCAGTAAAGACGTTTTTCCTGATGTCCAGTCTAAACCTCCCTTGGTGCAACTTGAGGCCATTTCCTCTCGTCCTATCGCTTGTTACTTGGGAGAAGAGACCCCCCCCACCTCGCTACAACCTCCTTTCAGGTAGTTGTAGAGCGCAATGAGGTCTCCCCTCAGCCTCCTCTTCTCCAGACTAAAGAGTCCCAGTTCCCTCAGCTGCTCCTCATAAGACTTGTGCTCCAGGCCCTTCACCAGCTTCGTTGCCCTTCTCTGGACACGCTCCAGCACCTCAATGTCCTTCTGTAGTGAGGGGCCCAAAACTGAACACAGGATTCGAGGTGTGGCCTCTCCAGGGCCGAGTACAGGGGCACGATCACCTCCCTACTCCTGCTGGCCAGACTGCTGTACTCCACTCACGCAAAAGGCTAGGCCAGGGTTTAATAATTATGTTCGCAGAAGCGTTGCTTAGTCTTCATAATAGGTCCTATTATATTACTTACGTTCATCCCATTGCATCTGATACAAATTGTGCTTCTAAAAAAAGACAGCATCTCTGTGTATGTGAGTGTCTGAAAAAAGAGAGTGGCCACACACACATGAAAAGGAAAGTTGCAGAAGACAAAACAGCAACAGGAGAAAAAAATAACATTCTCCCTACCCACTCAATTTCACACTGCTTGAGTACTGGCAGTGAGGTTTATGCTTGTTTTCAGAGCAGAAGACCTAGCCTCATCTCTCACCAGTGCATGTAACATCACAACGCAGAGTAAGGCACACTTCATAAACTCAGAGGTGGCCATAAAACTGATGGGTTTGAGATTACACCATCAAGATACAGTGACAGGAGGAAACCCCAGAAATCAACACGCTGCTTTTCCTCCTACTCCCACACTAACAAGTATTTAAACTCCATTAGCCATCAACTAGCAGCATTTTATGATTAGGTCAGATTTAAAATAATAATAATAAAAAGGTATCTCTCACCTGAGATAGCATCCAAGATAAATGGAGCTCAAGTAAGTGCACCTATTTTCATTGCAAAAGGCAAATTACAGAATCACAGCACAAAGACTGTTCTGTACTTTATTGCTCTCAGTCTAAAGAGGCCCCAATGCCACTTTCAGGGATGCACTTTAGAACAGGCAAATATATTTTCATTTGTTTTTCCCATTCTAATACAAAAATACGAATCCTTGCATAACTATAGTTTTAAACCTCTTAAAACCACGTGGGACAATTGACCAATATTGCTTTTGTATAGTCACATAGTCCTACAGATTTATGCAACAAAATGAAGGTGCAGCTACGGCAAACCCTCCCAGCTGCGTGGCTTCTTTCCAGTTATTGTTACCATACCACTGTTACCATAATTGTTACCATAACCTACTCCTGCTATTGTTACCCTATCACCATTAATGCAGTCTAGGTACATGCTACTGTCACACGTTCATTTCAATAACTTAAGAAGTTTAATTCATGCCCAGAATGCCTGTGTAGTCCCTCTCATTCATTTTGAAACTTTCAGCAAACAAACAATAAAGAATTATTTTATTTATTTATTTTAAATACTTTGCCCTCCCAGGTAGACAGTGTATACTCACCACATGTTCCCAATTCAAAACTATGTAAAGAACAAGATCCAGAGACTAAATGCATTATAAGAGTTATTAAAATATTCATAGACAGTACAAGGAGCTAAATCTTCAAGTCACCGGTGTCGCACAACTGCTCACCCTCTCCTTGCTGCAGCTGCTCCGAGCATCCCTGCCGGGCGGCGGGGCAGAGAGGCGGCGGGTCCCTGCCAAACTGCAGGAACTCTGGGGGCAGGAGGGCTGATTCCCCTGGTCCCACCTTAAGCAGAGAGAGAACTGAAATACCAGGCTGTCTTCCCCAGGAGGCCACCCAGAGGCAGATGCCCTGCCTCCTGCCCTGCTGGGGAGAGGCAGGGTGCGGCTGCGAGGGGGTCACCTCATCAGGGCAACCCCCCTGGGCTGCAGGAAATCTGAAAGAGGTGATTTACAGGTAGGATTCATTCCCATCCCACTGAGCAGACAGTTCAGCTGAAAAGTATTAATCTGGGCCTTGTAAGCTTGTTAAATAATGAACTTTACCCTTCGGCTGAAAAAAAAAAGGGGGGTGGGGAGGTAGTGTTGCACAAGCTTATCAATGCCCACTTGCTGCAGAACATGCCCTGGCAAGAGCTGTGTATGAAGAACTACTACTATTCATATCTGTAACGCTTCCAAGTTGCTGCAAATCTCTAGGACAAGATCAATGCATAACACTTACTCACCTACATAAAAACACAATACATACCCTTATTTTCTGCCCCAGCTTTTTCTCCTATGTTGGAGGACCGTCAACTTCATCCACACTTTTTAAAATGTTTCTAAAGCTGAAGTTCTTAAAATAGGAGTAAAGAGAAATAAATATATTGTGTAAAGAGTTGACCCAAAAGGCTGTATGACCTGCACTTAGGCATCAGTTTAATATGCAGCGGTATGACATATGGATGGAAAGTAAAAACAGAGGAAGCGTAACATCTATGAACACAAACTCAAGTGATCAGGCATTTTTCATTGAAGTTAAGAAAGTTCAAGCAGATTACTTTTTACTGACAATATAATCATATTTTCCTTGAAACAATTACTTACAGTTTACTTATTTAATCCTTTCACAGTTACTTCATCTCATTCTCTCGTCACAGGAACAAATATGCACGCTACTCACTCACTCAAACAGCTCCAGCAAAAGCAACAAACTCACAAGTAAAGACTTCCAACATGACTAAGTCTGCTTGGATCCAGAGTCATTCTCTCTCTCTCTCTCTCTACTACTCACCAGGCACAAAAACATTTTTCTGTTAACGTAATCGCTTAACACATGCTATCCCACTCACTTCCCGGTCTCTTGACCTTTCTTCCTTTGGTTTGCTGACAGTTTCCCTTTTTCCAGGGAGCACTTGCACCCCTACACAATGCACAACAGTGGCAGCTCCCAAGGACTTTGAGATTTCTTCAAGAAACAGAGTGACTGTCCACAACACGTGCGTGGGAACGTATGGCATCACTTAGGAGAATACCTTCACTATCAGCAGTTTAAGTGTACAAAGTGTGCACCATGCTCCAGTTTGGATTCTTTCTACCTTTTCAGCATAAGCTATTCTGAGGCTTTACAACTCAAACGCCAGTTTCACCCAGTAAATAACTGACTTGCAGTCACGGGCTGGAAAGAATTGCGGTATTTTTACCCTTCACTAAGTTTTGCATTTTTTTATAAATAGTCTAAGTGATAAGAGTGACCAGCTGAACTGATTTTGTGTTCCTATTTTTAAATACTTAAGTTTGAAAAATACTTGATAAACATTTAAGCAATATGATCACTGACAGCATACTAGCATTCAGAACACTGCAATGTAAGCATTCGTCTGTAATTAAAATATTTGAAGAGAGACTACAGTATACTCAGTAACCTTTTCCATACAGAATATTATTTGAAAAGCATGAATTCTGTGAACAGTATATGGTCTACAACTTCAGTTTGAATACTTGAAATACATACACTATCAAAACTTGACTTCCCATGTAGTTACAGTAAAATCTCCAAAACTTCTATTCAGTAAAACAAACAGCATAGGGAAAAAAAAAAAAATCAGAATATCAACTTAACTTTTAATCCACACACTTCCCCCTCGCCCCATACTGAAATGAATACTGAGTAAGCTGGGTCATGATTGCTTTCAATAAGTATGTCGGAAATCTTCAAAACAATGAGGCGACGGTAAGAGTTGTTACAAGCTCAGACATCAAAGGTCTTCCTAATAATGCCACATGGTTATACAACCACATGCTATGCATCGTTTTTATGCATCAGCATGCCGGGAACTGCAAAACCACAAGTACCAAAGGTACTTGAATTCTACGTTACGAAACTTCCTATGCAAGCAAAAATGAACATAGAATTGTAAGTATTTGTGACTGGAATCTGAGAATGTAAGCCCAGCTTTCACCGTGCGCCTGGGCAGAATGAAAATTTTCAGACTCGAGTGTCACCTTACACCTCCCGTCAACTCTGTCACGCAGCAGCAATTCATCCAAAGCGTCAATAACTCTAAGAGACTTTTCAACAAGCGGAAAGCCTCGGGTTTTGTTGTCATCGTCTCCCCACGCCTCCCTCGCCGCTTCGCTCCTGTGCACAGCTGCTCCTCTCGGCGTTTCTCAGCCCTCCCTCCCGCGCTCCCCGGCTCTGCCCGTCCCAGCCCGCCGCGGGACCCCG